ACGACCGTGAGCGGTGGCATCATTTTAGACACATTTTATCTAAAAGTTTATCCCTGATGCTGGACAGTGTCATTGGTAATGTGATACTGTCCGATTAGATTGTATTTTTAATTTTTTACACACTATAGGTATTTTCAATTCTGTATAAATCTTTTATCGACATGTATTGGTTTTAACTCGATTTATTTTTACATTTTACATTAATTTACTTTCATTGTTTTTACCGGATGTTTGGCGCAGATAGCCTTGCTGCTTTGCGGCATAAAACACCAACCAAATAGTTATAATTTATTTATAATTTAATATACTCTGTTACTTATGTAACGTAAGTAGGGTTGTGTTGTGGAGAGAGCAAAATATTCTTGTCCCTGAGCCTTCTACAGATCTACGTATACTACTGCATAATGGTATGGAGTAGCTTATCATATTATTTTGTAACTTATTTTAATGTTACAAGTTGCAAGATAGATTCTGATTTTTGGTAGTATATATATAAATGTTTTTGTTTATTCATTGTGGTTTTATGTTAAAAGTTTTGCTTGTAGGCATCATTGTGGAACTGTTTTGGTTAGCATTAAAATAAAATTCTAGGTTTAAATATTCTTTATTAAAAATATTCAAGATTCAAGAAATTTAATATCATTAGGGATAGAATAAGTTAGGCCTTATATCAAGTCAGTGTGAATAAAGTGAATCGAGTTGGTTAACCAGGAGAGTATTACTGGATGGAAGTTATAGTCTTGGTAAATCTAGAGAATTAGTCCACTATTTTATTATCCAGAGACTATTTAGGCTTTGATTCAACATGATGACTCTGAAAGATCATGTAAATGTAAGTTGTGTAAAAGAAGTAACACAGAAAGTAGTCAGTGAGTTAGTACACTATTTTATTATCCAGAGACTATTTAGGCTTTGATTCAACATGATGACTCTGAAAGATCATGTAAATGTAAGTTGTGTAAAAGAAGTAACACAGAAAGTAGTCAGTGAGTTAGTACACTATTTTATCATCCAGAGACTGTTTAGGCTTTAGTTCAACATGATGACTCTGAAAGATCATGTAAATCTAAGTTGTGTAAAAGAAATAACACAGAAAGTAGTCAGTGAGTTAGTACACTATTTTATTATCCAGAGACTATTTAGGCTTTGATTCAATGTGATGACTCTGAAAGATCATGTAAATGTAAGTTGTGTAAAAGAAGTAACACAGAAGGTAGTCAGTGAGTTATTGCACTATTTTATTATTCAGAGACTATTTAGGTTTTGATTCAATGTGATGACTCTGAAAGATCATGTAAATGTAAGTTGTGTAAAAGAAGTAACACAGAAAGTAGTCAGTGAGTTAGTACACTATTTTATCATCCATAAACCGTTTAGGCTTTAGTTCAACATGATGACTCTGAAAGATCATGTAAATCTAAGTTGTGTAAAAGAAATAACACAGAAAGTATGCAGTGGGTTATTGCACTATTTTATTATTCAGAGACTATTTAGGCTTTGATTCAATGTGAATGACTCTGAAAGATCATGTAAATGTAAGTTGTGTAAAAGAAGTAACACAGAAGGTAGTCAGTGAGTTATTGCACTATTTTATCATTCAGAGACTATTTAGGCTTTGATTCAATGTGATGACTCTGAAAGATCATGTAAATGTAAGTTGTGTAAAAGAAGTAACACAGAAGGTAGTCAGTGAGTTAGTACACTATTTTATCATCCAGAGACTGTTTAGGCTTTGATTCAATGTGATGACTCTGAAAGATCATGTAAATGTAAGTTGTGTAAAAGAAGTAACACAGAAAGTAGTCAGTGAGTTAGTACACTATTTTATCATCCATAAACCGTTTAGGCTTTAGTTCAACATGATGACTCTGAAAGATCATGTAAATCTAAGTTGTGTAAAAGAAATAACACAGAAAGTATGCAGTGGGTTATTGCACTATTTTATTATTCAGAGACTATTTAGGCTTTGATTCAATGTGATGACTCTGGGAGACTGTAAATCTAAGCCATGTAGAAGAAATAAGGCAGAAAGTACTTAATAAATTAATTCACAATTTCATTATCTTTTATAATCTGTTAACTTACTGTAGGAGCTTGTATAAACATGTATAGAGAAAATGAAGATGTATTGTTTACTTTGAAATAAATATGTTGTTTTGTGAACAAAGTACATAATTTTAGGAAATTGCTTTATTACAATGAGGGAACCTTCTATAGATGACTTGTTATGTGTGATTATTTTTCTAACTCCAATATACTCATTCAGCTTTTATTTCTTATTAATTCTGTGGGCATTTGTCACTCCCAAAATATCCTATTAAAAACCCATCACTTAGGGTATTTCAGTATATCACAAGAACATAAACATTATTCAAAACCTGGATGGATCAGTAGAACTAAGCCTATTATATTGTTACTTCCAGTAATATTGTTCTCTCATAAATAAGAAGAAACACAGCTATTAAAAATGAAGGAGTTAAGTATTTTTGCCAGTTTTGTAAATCTAAAGTATTAGTAACTAGTTGAATTAAAAGAAGAGTTCTTAGTTAAATACCTTTTGCATTTAGTTTAGTATAAGGCTTTGAGTTATAATGAAATAACCCTCTATAATGTTACGATAGAAATATTCTTAGTAAGAGTATTAAAACATTATTAAATGACTAAGGTATTTTTATAGAAGAACTTGCTGTGGAGAAGCCTGGACTAACTCAAGAAGCATGTAGTGGGATCGAAACGTTGTTGCTCGTGATTTGTTCCCAAGAGAAATCCACGTCAGAAGAAACAGCTGTTCTGAAAGTAATAAGAGTTTTGTGTTTGTTCAAAGAATTATTTAAACATAACCAGTTTGATAATTTTGGTACAAATTAAGTAATTCAGTGAAAATTAAATTTTACACACATACTATCATACATAGATGATGCAGGTATTGCCAAAGTATGAAACAATGTGTGGGGGTGTAGCTTCAAGGGAACTTTGTGACTTATCCATTTTGTTTTTTGTAATATTTTAAATATGCTTTGGGGCTAAATAGAGCACTTGTATCTAACTGTGATTCAGTTTGTTTGAATTATGATGACAGAAAATAAATTGTATTAGGATAAAGTAAAAAAATAAGTATTGGACTTAAAAAAGACAGTTTTTTAGTATTTCTTTAGGTTTGTTTTTCAATAGTAATTTTTAACACTACAGACTTTGAATTGAAAGTAATATTAGGAATGCATAATATTGTAAATAAAAGCTTAATTGTTTGTTGCTAAATTAATTTAAATAATTGATCTGTAACTGAGTAAAGGCTGTTGAACATTGTACCACAAACATTGTTTAAAATATTATATGTCAATTTTAATAGCAAATTAATACATATGACTCTACTGATTAAAAAATAGTTACCTATTTTTGGCAGGACTGTTAGACAAATAATATATCTGTTTTGTAAAGTTTAGCATGTGTATTGTTAATGTCCACTGTAATTCTTTTTCAATCAAGTTTGTGTTGTAAATATTTACTACAGTTTTTTTTACACAGGATTGTATTGGTGATGTCTACTATAATTTTTTCAGTTATTTTTGTTTGTTTGTTGTTAAGTGCAAAGCGACATAATGAGCTATCTGTGCTGTGTCCACCATGAGTATCAGAACCTAGTTTTTAGTGGTGTAAGCCCTCAAACTTACCACTGAGGGGAATTTTCATTGAGAATTGTACTGTTAATGTATAATATAATTTGTTTTTCACTCACAATTGTATTGGTAATGTGTACTATAATTTTCTTTCAGTCTGGATTAAAGTGTGCAGTGAACTTATGTGAGGCCAATACTGATTTGTGCTCACAGTTTGTAGATTGTATTGGTTCCCTGATGGTTAATGGAACAGGTATAGTTTTTGAAAATTTAAAATAATAGAGATATGTTTACAACTTTGTTCTTAACATTTTTAACATCTTGTATTTTTATTCACTATCGTTATGCCAATATATAATATTACAACTTTTTTTTCATAAAGTAAACACTTGTTCTCAAACATGTAAAAATAGTTTTTTTTAAATGCTTCAGTTTCATATAAGTTACAGATTTCCCCCCACTATAAATGGCATGTATATTTCTGAACATTTATGGGTAATGACACATTAAAGAACTGTGAACATTAAATACTAAATAGAATATAAAGGAAGTTGTATAAACTTTCATATTTTATATATAATATATATTTTAAGACAGACAAGTACAGAACTTGCTATGAACATTAACCTGCCACCTTCCTTTTTTTGTACATAGAATCAACAATAGTTCCCTTAGCTGAAGCTCTGTGTGCTATTGGAAGTCATCGAGCTGGAGTGGTAGCACATCTTCAGCAAGAACTTCTGCTCTTAGCAGAAAACTTAGGTGATCAGTCTGAGGAAAGAAGTGAGCATTCCCAGTCTCTTGTGAGTTGTAAAGCAGTTTCAAACTAAATTTGAATACTGTTAATAATGTGTGAAAGAATGTGAAGATTCATAGTTAAAATGTGCATAGTTTTGTAAAATTTTTGTATATAAGACACTGTAAAACTGCCATATTCCTAGACTATAGTAAGAGCTTTAATGTGTAAAACAATGTAAAGATTCATAGTTACAATGTATGTAATTTTGTAAAATCTGTAAAACTACCATATTCCTAGGCTGCAGTAAATGCTTTAATGTATGAAACAACTTAAAGGTTCATAGGTACAATGTGTGCAATGTTTTAAAATTAAGGCAGTTTAATTGGTATACTTTAGTTCACAGAATATACACAAAAATCACTTTAAGGAAAATAATGAGTGTTCTAATTTGCTCTGTTGTAATACTTAAATTCTAGAACTTTTATTACATTTGAGAAAATTGTAAGTTAAGTTTATGTCCTTTGTGTTTAGGTATTAATATGCACCTTGATATTTCAAAGTGGCATTGATCGCCACTGGGTGCATCAGGACAGGATGGCTATTATGAAGTCTGTTGAGAAACTAGACTTGTGGCTAGTATATCGAGTTGCTCGCCAGGCTGCAAGATATGGTTATCACCAGATAGCCTCTGAGCTCTTTTCTCGTTTGTGTAACAGAGTAAGTTATTATTACCTTGAGTTACATACAGTTGAAATTTTGTCAATAAGCTCTTTCCATATGGGGCATCCTTTTCTGCACGTGTAACAAGGTTTTACTGAGGTAGGTCAAAGTGCACATGTCATGACTTTTTAGAGAGTTACATCCAAAATTTAATTAAGCTACTTTATTATCATCATATACAAATAAACTTGGCATGAAAACATAGCTAATAATCCAAATTTTAATATTATGTTAGTTTTAAGTTCTTAACTTTATAACAATATTTTTTAAAAAATTCCCCAATTTCCCCTAGTATGAGAATTGACATTTGTTCTTCTGGTCTTCCCTCTTTAATTTATTTACCACCCCTCCAAGAAGTACAGAATTTAATGTAAATTACTCATTATAATATTGTCATCACTCAGGCACAGCATAATTCATATAACCTTCAATCTTATTTGGTTACAGAGCCATAAACTAGAAAATCAGTTCCTTTTTGTCATGCCCACCTGTCACATCCTCTCTTTCACAAATTGCCTATAGTTCCCTCTAATGTTGAATACTGTAATATTTATAACTAATAGAAAGCCAAAGTTTTAATTTAATGAATGATGTATTATATTTTGTTATTATCTGTACAGAGAATTGTTCATTTCGATTCCATTTCAAACTTTCCAATGGGAAACACATCAATGAGCTTAGCTGAATTTTTAACAGCTCTTATCTCATAGCTAGAAAGCTAGAAAAATAGTTATAAGACTGTCTGCTTTTTACATGTTGTTATTCTGTGTTCTTATGTACATGCATTATTCTATTAAATAAAAAATTTTATTTAGTATAAAAAAGTAGAGTTAAGTTTCATCAATGGTTGACAGCAAAATATATGAAGACCCACGTAAGTATTTGTTTTTCATGTGTATTCTTGATTTATTATTATAGAAGTAACTAAAATGTAAAACTTAGGAATGTTTTAGGTTAGATAAGGTAAAATAAAGAAAAATAATAATTTTTTTTTTCACAAGGTACATGCAAGTAGCCCATGCATTACATAATTTGACAGGGTAACGTAAACTGCATGTTCGGAAAGTGATTTAAAACTTGTGTTGTGGGAGTATTAGTTAGACACAGTTCAAAGGGCAATAAACAATAAATGTCAAGTTGAAAACTATATATATTGTTATGTGTTTTAAGCTATTTAGGACAAACAAAAGTAGTTTCATGCTACAACTTGAAGTCTAGAAAGAAAAAAGGTTAATTTAGCTTTATGTCATATTTTTTTAGTGGTGGTTACGAGGTTGGTCAAATTGACCAACCTTGTATAGAATTAAGGCAGAGAAAATAACAAACAAAATGTAAAGGTTTACTGAAAAAAAAAATGTTTGAAATTTATATAGGAGGTTTTAGATATTATGCAAATGATACCACTTAGTTTCTAGGTTGAAAACATAATGTTATGTTTGTTTTGATAGAGGGAGCATTGATGAAGGTGTTCTGTCCTGTTTTAGTTTAACCATATGCATATGACCAAAGTAAATTTGTAACTACCATATAACCATAAAACTACATACTATAACTCTGGATAGACTTAATGTATCTTCATGAAATTTGGGAAGCTTTTAGTAAGCTTTACAAGTTTTTTGTTACACAAATAAATTAGATTTTTATAATAAAAAAAATTAATACTGTTAATTTACTAAAGTTCTTTACTGTA